TTCTTTAGTAAACCACGGTTCCCTTGCTCGACCACTTCCTCCCTGCCTGACAGGTACTACATACTTCTCAAGGACACGCAGTAGCTGTTCCTTGAACAAGCTCCACATTTCAATTGTGCCCAGCCCCTGCAGTTTCCTTCTCCATCCTATGCATCCTAAATCTTGCCTCATCGCCTCATAACTTCCTTTCCCCCAGCTATAACTCTTGCCCTGCGGTATATACCGATCCCTTTCCATCGCTAAAGTAAACGTAACCGAATTGTGGTCACTATCACCAAAGTGCTCACCTACCTCCAAATCTAACACCTGGCCTGGTTCATTACCCAGTACCAAATCCAATGTGGCCTCGCCTCTTGTTGGCCTATCTACATACTGTGTCAGGAAACCCTCCTGCACACATTGGACAAAAACTGACCCATCTGAAGTACTCGAACTATAGCGTTTCCAGTCAATATTTGGAAAGTTAAAGTCCCCCATAACAACTACCCTGTTACTTTCGCTCCTATCCAGAATCATCTTTGCAATCTTTTCCTCTACATCTCTGGAACTTTTCGAAGGTCTATAGAAAACTCCCAACAGGGTGACCTCTCCTTTCCTGGTTCTAACCTCAGCCCATACTACCTCAGTAGACGAGTTGTCATCAAATGTCCATGGATGGAAGTTTGGCTTCCCTGATGGTCTGGGCTGTGCACACCACCTTCTGTAGTTTCTTACGGTCCTGGGCAGAGCAATTGCCATACCAGGCCATTATGTACCTGGACCATATTCTTTCAATGGTCCATCTGTAGGAGTTGGTGAGGGTCCTTATGGACACGCCAAATTTGCTGAGCCGCCTGAGGAAGAAGAGGCGTTGTTGTGCCTTCTTGACTGACGCATTTATGTGGAAAGTCCACGACAGGTCATCGAGGAACTTGATGCTCTTCACTCTGTCAACCTCAGTTCTGTTGATGTAGATGGGGGTGTGTTCTCCTCCCATCTTTCTGAAGTCAATGATCGGTTCTTTAGTTCTGCCAATGTTGAGAGACAGATTGTTTTCATTGCACCACGTCAACAAGCCCTCTGTCTCTCTTTTGTATTCTGATTTGTCGTTGTTAGATATCCATCCCTCTATGGTGGTGTCATCAGCAAATTTTGTAGATGGTGCTCGTTCAGAATTTGGCAACACAGTTGTATATATACAGGGAGTACAGTAGGGGGCTGAGGATGCATTGTTGGGGGTTTTCAGTGTTGAGTGTTATTGTGGAGGAGGTGCAGTTACCTATCCTCACTGATTGTGGCCTATGGGTCAGAAAGCTAAGGATCCAGTTGCAGGGGGCGAAGCCGAGACCGAGGTCACGCAGTTTTGAGATCATCGTGAGGGGATAATGGTGTTGAAGGTGGAGCTGTAGTTAACGAGGTGGAGTCTGACTTCGGTGTCTTTGTTGTCCAGATGTTCCGAGGATGACTGCAGGGTTAGGGATATGGCATCCGGCGTGGACCTGCTGTGTCGGTAGGCAAACTGTAGAGGATCGAGGCAGGTTGAGAGACTGGAGTTGATGTGGGCTATGACCAGCCTCTCGAAGCATTTCATGATTATTGAGGTCAGAGCTATTGGGTGGCAGTTATTAAGGCACACTGCATGTGTTTTCTTGGGTAGGGGTTGATGGTGGTCTTCTTGAAGCAGGTGAGGACTTCAGCTTGTAGGAGGGAGAGGTTGAAGATGTCGGTGAATACCAGTTTGGTCGCACAGGATCTGAGTGTTTGGCCAGGGATCTGTGTCCGTTGCTTTCCCTGGGTTGACTCCCAGGAAGACCGATCTGAATTCTGAAGCAGTGACAGAGGGAACAGGTGTGTCTGGGGCTGTCGGGGCAGGCATTGCCACACGGTGGTATTCTGCTCGAACCGAGCATAGAAAGCATTGACCATGTCAGGGAGGGATGTGTCATTGTCCACTACCTTACACCGTTTCAGTTTCTATCCCGTAATGTTGTTTAGGCTTTGTCATAGACAGTGGGAGAATGTTTGGTAGACCTGGGCCTCTAACTTGGTCTGGTACTGCCTCTGCTTTGCGGAGGTCATATCTGGATTTTCTGTATTGGACTGGGTCACCCAATTTGAATGCTGCATGTCTGGTCTTCAGTAGGGAGTGGATTTCCTGGTTCATCCAAGGTTTATGGTTGGGGAACACTCGGATTGACTTCTTTAGTACACAGTCCTACGTGCATTTGTTAATGAAGTCCATGACGGTGGTGTCGTACTTGTCTAGGTTTTCTCCTGAACACCTGAATGCGGTCCAGTCCACTGAGTCTGAGCAGTCCCAGAGATGACCATTCCTAGGATTCTAGGGATGAACTGAATTGATAAAGGCAACCACCGCTAATCACTGCCACTCATCTCTGGGAATCCAGAGGTCATAGGAAACTCGTGAAACGTCACCCCTCGTCAAATATACGCTGCTACATAACTGAGCAGTAACTTCATTAGGTGGTTGTTTGTATATAATAACAAATGCTTGATGAGGTAAATTCAGCCTTTGGTTTACCCTAACTGTCCAGAACAAAAAGTCTGGCTTACAACAGTAAGAGTGATTGCCTGAGAGGAAAATACTTCCATAAAGATCATACAGAATCTGTCCTATTGTCAGAGGTGATCTTGCAGAAATTCATTGGGTAGGTGACCTTACAGACATTTTAAATGATCATTTACTACGTAGCGTTGCAGCGCAGATGCTCATCCTACAGTGGATACATTTTTTTTATTCTGGGGTAATGAACTGAATTGATAAAGACTTGGAAAGGGCAGGCAGAACAGCTTCAATGCATGAAACATCCAGTGGAATAACCTTGTTTAAGCAGTTAATTCAATCAAATGGAAATATATAGTTTTATATATATATATAAAAACTGATTTTCTTCAACAAGAACAATATTGCTGTTAGAATGCACTATTATAATGCAATGATATGAGCTGTGTTTGCTGTATACTTGATCATAGTGCCTCCACCTTCAGGGGACTTTATCTAAAATTAATCAGTGGAATATGTTTGGAGAAAAATAATTTCTACTATAATTTGTACTTGTCTGAAATGACACTCTAAGAAAAAGAAGTGAATGACAAATTTTGCATCATAAGAAAGCAGATGGTTTCTGTAACATGTCTTTTTGTTTATCATAAACTCAGCAGGAACTGAAAGCTTGCATTTGTATTTAGGTATAATACTTTTTTTTATTTTAAGCTCCCGTGCTTGGTCAACTGCTTGTGTTGTAGATATATGTGGAAAAATAAAGTGCATCCAATTGAAATATATGCTGCCATCAGCCCTGTATACACACAGCACTGGGTCAGTGGCTAAGACCACCACTGTTTTGCCTTCTTTGAAATCTCTTGTACTGATTAATTACTTCTGCTGTAGGGCCACAAGTGGATTTTTTTTTTGATAATTTTGGCAGAACCTCAGAACTATATAACACCAGCAACATTACTTAGAAGATAAGCAAACTGCAGGCAAAATTTCAAACCTTGGTGAAGTGGAGATTGAAAAATGCCAGCAGGGGACTGTCCTTTAAAATTTGTGGTGCCAGGTCCAAATTGAAAGATGATGCATCTTGAGGAAGGCTGGCATTATTTTTTCTCTAAAGTAGTAGATGTGCCTTAACGTTTTCTGCTCCTGAAATGAATAAGAGGGACAAGGGTTAGCTTTTAGAATGAAAGAACGCAACAAAAGAACAGGCTGTTGTACGCAGTTGTAGTTTGTCATTTAGAGTATGCAAGCTAAGATAGAATTAATAAAGTGAAAAGAGGATAAGGATATGATGAATCACAACATGATGAATTCTCGTGGTGGTCATGATTGACCCTTGTCCGTGACTTTCCCCTTAGTTTTTGATTAGGTTTGTGGGTGTAAGCAATAAAACCCTTTTGATATTTGTTGAGTCAAGTCTCTCTGTGGTAAAAAGCTAACGTGAACCTCTATGTTGGAGGTCAAGTTCTTTTTTCAACTTGTAACTCAATTAATTCAATTATGTTT